GAACACTTAAAAAGTGTCCATTCTCAGTCAGCAGTAATCAACAATTCACTTAATTGCGAATTGATGTACCTTCAATTCAGATCAAGTCTATTATTCAATATCAAAGTACTGAATTCTCAAGTCATGTAATCAGTAAGTATAAGCTTTAAGTTAAGCTTGTACATTCCAATTTTAATATTTCCGAGGACGGAAATATTTTAAGGGGGGCGGATTGTAACGCCCTGTATTTTATTAATAAAGAAAAATACTAGCTTTTAGTTTTAAGCTAGCCTTTGTTAATAAATAATCATGTTCATGTTCAAGTTCAGATTAATCAGTCAGTTATATTCTATGTTCGACTATAAGTCGATATATTATTCGGTTAATTATTTCAGTAACCGGACAAGTTTCCAGATTTAAGTCCGATTCATTAATGAGTCCGAAATTAATTATTCAGTCAGCGATTTTCCGTGATGTTAATCATGTTTTAGTTCCGATATTATTTTCGGAATTAAATTAATTTCAGTCATTTCAGTCGAAATTACCGGAATTTATTTTCGACGTACCGTTTACGTTCGGAATAATTTTGGTAATTAAGTATCATGTCTAATTAAATAATTAAGCATTTAACTATGCTTAATTAAGTTGCCCTAATCTAAGTGCTGTGAGCAATTTGTGCTAAGTTGTGAGATTTTCCTATTTTTCCTTTGCTAAAGCCGTAGGTTTTGTGGGCAATTGGGAGTATTTTTGGTCCAATTTTCTATAGCATGAGGTGGCTTAAAAGTGAAGCCTAAGGGATGACTAACACACTTAAAGAATGATTAGGCATTTTTTTTAAGCTCTTCTTAAGTGTTGAGGTTGCAACAAATGTCTCACGGTGGCAAAGCCACAAAGCACCTCCACCCCTTCGGTTTAGTATTTAAGGGGAATATTGGGGCAAATTTTCCCCATCTCCTTACAACATACACATAATAAGTCTTACTACATAGAAGAGATAGTGAGATTTGAGAAGGAAGGAACACCGCAAGAGCACCGAGAGCACCGCACGCGCACCGCACGTAGGGATGGCAGCGGTTCGGTTTCGGTTCGGATATCCGCGGTTTTTGGTTCTGCGGTTTTCGGTTTTGGTTCTCAAATTTCACCCACGGTTTTGAGGTTTTGGGTACCCGAAAGTCTTCGGTTTTGGTGCGGATCCTATATTTCGCCCGTGGTGCTCCGTTGGGTGCCCAAAATAGACGGCCCATCAAAAAGCCCACCAAAAACCCTAGCTATATAAGTGGAAATTTCCTCTCCCTCTTATCCTCTCCCCGTCTCCCGTGATGGCTTGGCTTAGCTATGTACTCTACTACCTTTATGGCTTGTATTGTACGTTGGTACTTGCTAATTTATGACTGGTTGCCTGGTACTCTCTAAGTTATCATGTTTTATGTTGTTGTCTTTGGTGTTTTATTATAATATTTTTGGATTTTTGGGTATCCGTTTGGTTTTTGGGTATCCGCGTGTTTTGGTTTTGGTGAAGGATTTTCACCCGAAACAGTTTTGGTTTTTGGTTTTGGTTTTTAAGTTTGGGTTTTGGTTTTGGGTGCCCTGAGGTTCCATCCGATCCGAATCCGAACCGCTGCCATCCTTAACCGCACGGAGTGATCGCGCTTATACAAAAGCTCCGATCGTCTCGAGCAATAGGGTGATCAGCCGAGAGTTCCAAGAGGTAACTTCGTTTACCTTAAGTTATTCATGTTAAAGGCATGATAGGTTCGGATTATTCATGTTCATGGTGCGGCTTTAGGCCTTTCGGCCGTACGAGTACATAGTGATCGTATTTACGTTTTGTGTGCATAGTATCTCGAGCAATCTTCGCATGTTTAGTCGTTTTATGCAAAAATCATGATCAGTCAGTTTAGATTGCTCGGAGTATGTTCATGTTTATGCGGTGTTTCGGCCAAGGCGATGTGGTCGCGCACGTAGCGCGTACCACGGGCCGTACGCGAGTGTTAAGAATGTTAAGTTCATTTTCCTCGAGCACTTTATGTTATTTTATTCAGTAAATCATTGATCATGTCCAGTTATGTTTGATTTGCCGAGAGAAAATGAGATCCGGTCGTGAAACGGCTTAACGCCGTCGGCGGCGCACGGTGCATCCGCCGCGGCCAAGTT